AGGCTGACGGAACTCATGAGGATATCAGAGTGACGATCATTGGGAAAGTAAGGCAAGCTTTCATTTGTCTCAAGTCTGTGTGGAGATCAACAGCGCTCAGAATGAAAATGAAAGTAAGATCCGGATTTCCGACTCCAATGTGAAGTCAGTGCTACTCTGTACGGATCAGAGATTTGGCGCCACGCTGCGTCACGAAGGCCGATTCGAACAAACAACACACCTTCATCGACAGCTGTGTTCGTTCAATTTTTCGCCCAAGTACAGATGGCCAGAAAAGATCAGCAATAAGGAAGGATCTCTGGGAGCGAAACAACCCAGCAGGAACCAATTGTGTAACAAATATGCAGGATGAAATAGAGGTGGATTGGCCATAGTCTGAGAAAACCATCAAGTGACATCACACGCCAGGCGCCAGGAGGTCACACGAGGAGGAGATGAAAGCAGGTGGGCAGATGTGGAGCCAGATGAAAACGTCAGTAGAGAACCGAACGCAATGGAGACGTGTAGCTGAAGCCCTATGTTCCTCAAGGAACTAAAGGAGACAATAATAATATATGGCAGTGCTTGCTAACCGTCTCAAGATTGACATAATCACTAGACGACAGTAAATCTCATTTGATGCATTCATACTTGCGACAATCGCAAAATGGATAACGTTCAGTTACTGGTAGGCCATGAAAACCCGAGTCATCATGCCAGTTGTTTTAAGCATATAAAATTTTGGTTTATTAATCCTAACTACATCTGCTCCAATTGTTTGAAGTGAACAAACAATAATCACATGTGGTAGATGGATTGGTAAATAATGATCCACTTATAAACCGGGTTTAACTCATACCATATAACCTGTATAGATGAAATAAGCTTGAGTAGAACTAGTTGCATTCTTCAACACACCTATCACCAGCCATAAAGATACATGATCGTTGGTTCTTTTCATAGTGGTTACTTAATCCCAAGTAAGTAAATAGCTGTAGGAGCCTTGTCATCGGCTGGATTTAAGTGAACCCACATTAATGTAAACATGAGATACATGCGGTTTTCTGCTGTTCAACTACAGACATACATTTGTAAACTCAGCTTCAGAGGCAGCTTAGAATATTTTTTTGTTAGGATCCCCTGGACATATCAGTGGAAGTTTCAGCTAGGACTGACCATTGGTTGAATAGTGAATTTGATCTTATTTACAGTATGTCTCTCACCTTTCTCAAAAGAACTTATCTGAATCTAGAAGGAAGTAGTAAGTTAGGTTTCATCACGAGCTGAATGCTAACGCGTTTGGCTGATAACCTGGAAAGATTATGGATTAGATACTGATGGGGTCATATTCACCTTTGATGGAGAAGATTTTGATATAGTTGTGGTTTATTTGCAAAGCTTTCATTACCCTACTAGGCAACATCTTCAGCGCATACTTCAGTTTGAAGACTTCAGATGAAAGCAATGAAAGCTCTGCAAATAAACCATTCAGCTCAGAGGTCATATTCGCCTGTTACTGAAGAGAAGCAAACTAGGACGAAACAGCTGTCCAGTACTTTTCAGTTTTTAACGGTTATTTATTTAAATTCAGTTTGTAATGAAGTTTTACTTGAAACAGTAGGGATGGTTATTCTGGTAGTTGTGTGGCGTTGCTACTGTGAAGATTCATAAGTAGTATGTAGATGCAGATATAGACATGTACATGAAAACTGAATGTCAGGGAGATGCTTGAGAAACAACATGGAAAACATGACAGGCAGGCAAAAGAGAACAATACGGAAGCCAGATAATACAATACCGAAGATATTTCCAAATTGTGATTCCACAATATAGTAAACGTATTTTGCCTATATCCGGGTATCGAGTTACAGGTGCATAATTCCATTACCGATGCTCTTATCTTCTGCCGTTACAGTTGCATTTGTTGTGTAAGCTTGATTTCTCATTTAGGTGGCTTTCATAGTTATTCCATATGTCAACTTCAAGGCATTTTCGGATTGCTATTATTACTGTTTCCTTTAGTTGCTAGAGGAACATAAGGCTTCAGCTGCACGTCTCCATTGAGTTCGGTTCTCTGCCAGCGTTTTCACTTGGCTCCACGTCCATATCTTCGCTGCCCACTGTCTGTCGCATTATCCACTCTACCGCAATCAGGAAAATCATTGGAGATAGGTAGTAGGCAGCCAGCTTGTCTTACTCCCGTCTTCACTTAGAAGGATTTCGTGAGTTTCCAATTTGTGGATTGCTTAGCATGCAGCATTGTCATACAACTGTTGGATGAGATGTATAATTGTTAGCGGTATCCCGTAGTAGCGAAGTAGTTGCAGAATCACCTCTCCATTGACGCTGTAGAAGGTCTTTTCAAAGTCAATGAAGTCGAGATTGAGAGGTAACTGCCATTTCAAGCTCTATTCAATGATGATCCATAGCGTTGCGATTTGATCGATGCATGACTTGTTCCTCCTGAATCTAGCCTGTTGTTCTGGTCTAATTTTTTCATCTAGAGCGTGTTTGATTCTCTCTAGGATGATGCGGCTATATATTTTGCTTGGGGTAAACAGGAGCATAATACTGCACCAGAATGTTAATTAATTATAACTGTACTCAGTAACCAGTAGAATGATAACAGAGTTTCTGGGTAGCATTTTGTTTTCTGATTGGCTTCGTAATAGAGAATCATTTCTTTTGGCCTCTTGTCATCGATTTAGTTGCGGGTTTCTCCTAGTATACATATATATGAAGAATTCCCTCAGATGGTTTCCTATCAAGTAAGACTCAATCCTGCATACTTTATATAACAGTTAGTGATGAATTCTCTCCATTTTGTGAGGTGAAGGTACAAAATTGCCTAACTCACTTTGAAATAGGATTAACAAGTAAATCCTCTGTTTTTTTTCCTCCTCACTAATTTGTCGAACTGTCTGAGTATATTTTTTTAATGCATACATCATATAAAAAAATATATTAGCAAACAAGGAATATTTAGGGAGTTGAATACCCCGATAAATAAATAAAAAAGCTTTCGATTTTGTCTAATTTAATCAAGGTTCATTCTAGCGAGTAATCCAATTTTTTTTTTCAACTCCAATGAGAATAATTAATCCTGATGAGAAAATGAAAATATGAACACATTTTTATGTGACTATATATATATATTTGTGTATAGAATTATAACGAGACATTTTAGAATATTTAATTTTTATATGAGTAGTACTATAAATAGTAAACAACTTGAGCAGCTTATTTTACTGTTATGAATTTTTATTTCAAGTTGTTGTTTTTTTCACGAATATCCACTGAATAATATCACTTGTCATCTTGTGATAGTTTTTAGACATTAATTCTTCTCAATGCACTATAAATGTTAGTAATTAACCGGGTAGCAGTTCTTGAATAGAATACTCCTTCATCACTGACACAATCTGGGATTCGATCGTCGGCCGATGCACTCCTAAAACTAGCTCGCTAAGTACAGAAGGCTGGGCTTGAGACTAGCAACCTCACCACTGCTATTGAAACCACAAAGTTCAAAGGGTGAAGTCTTACGTTTCACTTACAACGCAAGAGTAATTTTTGTCATTACTCATGTTAAAGTAAAGATTTCTGACTGCTTCGCTGACGTCAACTTTTATTATTTGAACAAATTTAATTGCTTGATGCATTTATTCCCCTTGATAAATTTGAATAAAGCAAGAACAACAGTGGTTTGTGCAGAATAATATGGTACCATCATTTATTTCGTTGACTTCTCATCAGCTGCTTACAGTCTAAATAAATTATGAGGTTTGTGTACAGAAAGGTTTTAACATACTTGCAAATTTTACATGTTGTCAGTTGACAAATTTACGTGTATCTGCGGGAGCAGTTACATTGGGAGAACAGAAAGAAGGGCACACCTCCGATTTTCTGAGCATGTGTCAAAAAGCCTACGTTTCAAGGGAACAAACTCTTATAGTAGCGCTATTACCAGACATCTTCTCGGCACGGGTCATTAGGTAGAAATCGAGAAATCCCTTAAGATTATCAATAGACAAAGGAGTTCCATTCTCCTCAAGTTTTCCAAAGCAATTTCTATCAAACACTTGAAACCAGATTTATGTGTTCAGAAAGAAGCAGTTATTAATCTTTCCTTGCCCTGGTAACTGAATGTCTTTATTCTCTCATCTGATTACGTAATCTTTGTCTTTAACCTCACCCTCTTTTATAATCTGTAATTTTGTTTGTCTCTTGTTTCTATGATTTGAGTTGAATTCGGTGCAATGTTACCTAATTTATTAGTCACTCTGTATCTAACGCATATTTCGTCTTTATTACGTAACTCCTTTGCCATTGTATACATACATTTATTTTGTTTAAACTTGAACTGCCTGTGTAAAAACTATATAAGCGCAATTTTCTGAGTACTGTTCACTTATTTTGGAACTTTTTGTCAACTGACAACATGTAAAATTTGCAAGTATGTTAAAACCTTTCTGTACGCAAATCTCATAATTTATTTAGGCTGTAAGCAGCTGATGAGAAGTCAACGAAATAAATGATGGTACCATATTATTCTGCACAAACCACTGTTGTTCTTGCTTTATTCAAATTAATTGCTTGACTCTGGCTACCAAATAGTCAGTCAAAGTTTGTTGGGTTACCGAAAAACACATTATCCAAATCTAAAATGCTAAATCATTTTAAGACAAGTGATGGAGAATAAAATACTCGAAATACACTGAAATGGACGCATTGGCATACAGTCGTACAGTATAGTATGGAACAGAGTAATACTGTTAAAAAGCAGTACAGCTATGTAGATGAAGTAAAACCGTTAACTACTGTATCACTAATCAGAGGAACAATACGCAACACTTGTTACAGGAAGAACACGACACTAATCTTGGATGTGGGGAAGAGAATACAACTGTATAAAGTAATTTAAAAAGTTGCATAACTACTATGATAAAATTATGATTAAAAAGTTGGTTATTCTACCAAACTATCTAACAGTGCTCATGTTCTACTCTTATACAACTTACGACATCATGAAATTCTGATGGTCGATTCATTTGTATTGGTTTATCACTCATTTCATCTGATTCATCCAATGAAAATCTTGGCTTTCGATTGAATAAAAATTTTGATTCACTTGAATTAGTAATTTCAGCTGGACTCAGGCTTCTGCCTTTACGATAAACATGAATTTGTGATGTACTTTGGTGTGATTTTGAGCTACCAGTAAATTCAGTGGTTGGAGTTTCAGAGTCTGTGATTTCATTTTCACGTGGTAATTTTCTTGAATTAAAAAACACTGATTGATTTCTTATAGGTGAAGGATGTGATTGATTTTGGGTTGATCTGCGAATATAATTAAGAAAATAAAATACAAGATAGATGCGAAAGAGTGTGTTAGAAATGTAGGGGGATAAAGGTGAAGACAGTCAATGAAAGGACTGAATCAGACCTAAATACATTCACTAATCTCTCAGTAAACATCATTCAGGGGTCATAACAGCTTATAAGGTGTTTGTAAGAAGTTTTACGAATACGATGTAATTACTGTCATTATTCCCTCGCGTTCCTAGAGGAATACAAGTCTTCAGTAGCACATCTCCACTTCATCCTGTTCCGTACACTCCTTTTCAGCTGGTTTAACGATTTACCATAAGCTTTCATCTCATCCTCACACGAACTCCTACATGTCATCTTTGGACCTAAATCAAACTCGTCATTTCCGATCCGAGTTCCACTTGAAAGCAACCCTAGCGCACGGTGTAACTTATTGGCCTCCTCAGTATGTGTTCGATCCATCTCCATTTGTTCCTGCACATTTGATTGGTAAGTGGGTTCTCAGCTACTAATCCTTTCCTTCCGGCCATTTGGTCTTTCGTTTGAAGCCGGCAGAGGCAGCTGTTGATAAAAGTCTGAAGCCTATTGATATTGGTATTGGAAATTCGAATCTTGGTCCTTATCCTGAATGTAGTAGATTTCAACACTGATTTCGGAGTGATGATGATGCCTTTCCATTTCATGCTGGCTTTGACATCTTCATCCGTTCTGCTAACAGATGAAATGATGCTGCCCAGAAAAGTGAAAGTAATGATGGTGCTTGCCGTTGTCGTTTAGGTATCTCCATCACCTCTCCCTTGTCTATGTTCACTTGAAGTCCCGTCTACATTGCCTACCATTTCTGCCAACTCGTTTCTTTTTAGCCGAAGATCTTCGAGTTTATTTCACATTAGAGAGAAATTATCGTCAAAGTCAAAATCCAAAGTCAGTTCAAATTATGCCAGTCTTCTCGCTCCGCATGGCCTACCGTATGATTCAATCTTCAGCCGTCATAAATATCGTCGTTGGTAGTAGGAAGCCTAGACACCGATCAATAAACTGCAGTATTGCTTTCATAAAGGTTAGTGTTGATTCCTTCTCAGAAAAGCGAAATGAAACCTAATAATTAACGTCTCGATAACATGAACCAGACAGTCGAGTTACGCGTTAAATCCACCACTAAACACTTGTCTAGCATACAGTGTCGTGTTATTCAATGACACTAAGGAAAAATCGGAAGCAAACTTACAGTCTTGAGGTTAGTAGTTTTATCACCATCAAAAGCAGTTTTGAAATGACTGTTCAAGAAGGTAAACATCAAAACTGTGTCAAAATAAAGAGTGAACTAATGTGCAGAGAAAAGTAAAAAAAGAAAAAGCAAGATTCAAGAATAAGAAGAGAAACGTTTAGAAATGCATACTACTTATTAGTGGTGAGTAGTATACAGTTGCGCACATAAAGAAAAAAGATCCACAAAGGCTAGTTAATAAAGAAATTAACAATTAACTTCTGTGAGTGAAACCGTACTATATTTAAGCACTAATTAGTGAACGCAAACATTTTTTGTCAAGAAATAAACTTAAATGGAAATGTTACGGGAAAATAAGCAGAATACATTTCATTTTAAAGAGAATTAAAAAGCTGATTGCTTGCAATCAGTTAAATTTATTATGTAAGAATCACTGGCTTACTATTGAAGTATAACAGAGTAGCACTGCATTCGTTTAATAAAGGACTGACTACTTACTTGGGGTAAGTTATGACCAGTAGAAAGTTCAAGCCTAGTGATAACATTTCTAGTTACAGAATAGAGTATCACTGACTGATGTATCTTAAGGCGTGGATTCACCCCCAATGTATGCTGCCAGTATGTGCAAAGTGTACGTCCAAAATTATCCTATTTATTGCTTTCAATGTGCGTCGGTGACACAGCGGTTAGGACGCTTGCCGACCGTGCATAAGGTCCGGGGTTCGATCCCCGGCCGCCGACGCACTCCTTTACCTCGCTTAGCCAGTAATAGAACTGGCAAAGAGGGAAGGTTGGGCATGAGGCTAGCAACCCCATCCTGTAAAAATAAACACTTCAACAGAGACTTCAAGGAAGGAAAAAAATTGCTTTCAATAATCTAACATTGCCATAGTGGGTATCTTATCTTGATTATCCTACTGGTTAATCTGAGGTAACTAGTTTTCACACAGGTGTAAAACTTTTAGGTAAGAAATTATTTTAGATATCTTCTATATTTCAGTTACTATTCATAAATTAAGTCACAGAAGATAGGACAAGGCTAATTTCTCACCATATAGTGTGTAATCTAGCCACTTTATAAAAGTGCCTTATGAGATTAGCAAAGCAACCTCACGTTCTATAACTGTCGAATGTTCCATTATTGTTAATTCCTTTATACAGGAGGATATCGCTTCATATACAGACACATGTGGCCAGTCATCGTGTGTCAGTATGTTAACTAAGTATCTCCTTTCCCAGCCACTGTAATTATGACGGCTGGCCTATATTACTGCCCGGATTTCATAGTCTCTCATCTAATATCAGAAACTATACTCATATGCTGCCTGCATATCGTATATAACGAGATAGTTATGATTCAGAAAAAGCAATAAGAAGACGTAATTTGTCTGAATCGTGTAATGTATTTGCGCAACACATCTCGAACAATCTGATCACACACGGACTTGTCATAGGAATATAAATGAAATTAATAGAGGTAAGAGGTGAGAAAACAAACTTAGGTCAAGTTTAAAGGACATATTCAAGGTCAAAATAACAATGAAGTCCACTAAACCAAATAGCAGAGGTAATAGTACATCTGCTATGGTATCAAAACAAAATTTACCAAGGAAGGTTTAATGTGATGACGAATTGTTTTTGAACGCATAAAGGTGGCTTAAACTTTCTAATTGCTAGGGCTTCCACAAACTTTAGGATACGCCCCAAACACGTTTTATAGATAGGTTTAAAAGATGTGTTAACGTCAGTTTTATGTCCTGTCTCTATAATATGTTTCGCAATAGAAGAGCTAGGTCTCCTGTTCTCACCATTAATGGGTTCTGAAGCCATTTAGGAATATGCCCTGAAGCCCTTACTTGCAGAGATCGATGAGTCCTCCCTATGTATGTGTATCCACACGTACATTCAAATTGGTAAATATAGTAGGATGTGACGTCATTTGTCGCATGTTCGAAGGGCTTAGATGGACATATTGGCTTTACATTCTCTATTATTATGATATTGGCTGCATAAAAAGTCTTTTTGACAGCAGCGTTCAGTCTTTGTCTAGTTATCAAGCTGCTTTGATGTCCCATATGGGATAGCTTGATGTACACGTCTTTCTTAGGGGCGAGTTGGAGAGTGGGTCTTGGTGTTCTGACTACTTTATATCTCCTGATGAACTTGTCTGGATAATTGTTATCATATATATTCCTATGACAAGTCCGTGTGTGATCAGATTGTTCGAAATGCGTTGAGCAAATACATTACACGATTCAGACAAATTACGTCTTCTTATTGCTTTATCTAAATTCATAAAGGGAAGTAGTTGTTTTAAATTTTTTAAGAGGAAACTCCCCCCACACACTAACAAAAGGTTAAATGAACTTGTTAACCTTAGGTGTACAATTATCGTCGAACATAACACGTTGGAATTTTATGAATTATGTATTAACCTCCTCCTTGTCACCCTCGCACTGACGGCCAACTCACCGCTTCACATTCAGTCGGCTACCACTCGAGCAATGGCCTGGCGTGTAATGTCACTTGATTGTTTTCTCAGAGTACAGCCAATCCAACTCCATTTCACCCTGCATATTTGTTGCACAGTCGATTCTTGCTGGGTTGGTTCGTTCATTGCCAGAGATTCCTTTTGCTCATCTTTTATGACCGGCCGTCTGATCTTGAGCGAAGTATCGAAGTTACGAACACAGCTGTTGATGAAGGTGTGTAGTTTGTTCGAAGTGGTCTTCGTGACGCTGCGTGGCGCCAAATCTCCGATCCGTATAGAGTAGCACTGACTTCACATTGGAGTCGGAAATCCGGATCTTACTTTCATCTTCGTGCTGAGTGCTGTTGATCTCCACACAGACTTGAGAGTAATTAGAGATTGCTTTACTTTCTCAATGATCGTCACTCTGATATCCTCATGAGTTCCGTTGGCCTGTATTTGAAATGACGATGCTTCCTAGGTAGGTAAGTAGGTAGGTAGTTAGGTGGCAAATGAGGTTGGTTCTTTCAGATTCCTCCCAATTATGCTGGCTGATTGTTATCTGTTGCTGTTGCTGTTGCGGTTACTGTTGGCGAGGAATCTTCATCACCTCTGTTTTCTCTATGTTGACATGAAGTCCAATCTTCTCTGGATGTTTCTTCTCCGAACTTGTTGCTTTTCACTTGAATATGTTCCAATTTGTGGGAAATCAGACATATATCATCGATTCACTACAGACACATGGGACTGATAAAAGAGAGAAGGGTGGTGAAACATAAGATTATCCGGTGCAACAAAAACGGGAGGTGAAAGCAAGTTACAATACACTGAACAAAAGAGTAAAGAAAAGTGCCAGTGAAGACAAAAGATAATATTATGAAGCTATCTATGGCAAGTGAAGCAGAACAACCTGCAAGTAAAGAAGACCTCGCAACACTCTACCAAACAACTAGGTTCCTATCAGGGATGAGATCAACACAAATGAAGCCAGTGAAGGATGACGATGAAAAAATAATAATTTTTATAAATTTTAAAACCAATTCACCCACTCCACTTACTTTTGTATTCTCTGAGTATTTTGATACATTCCAATCACGGAGTTTGGTTTATTCATATTGAGTTTAGAGGTATTGTTCATTCGTTTATAATATTCTGCATATCCAGCAGCTAAATAATTTTCCGATTCTCTTATGCCTTTATGATGTTGACAATTCTGCTTATAAGAATTATTATTATTGTTAATATTAATATTGTTACGATAATTATGAATAATATCATTAGACGAATTACACTGACGTTGGGTGAAATATGAATTCCTGGCATAATTACCATTAGAATGAAAAGGATGTTGCTGGCATTTCTTCATGTGATGATTCGACTGATTTAATGATGACGATGAAGATGTACAATTATTATAATTATTATGATTATTATTTTTTAATAAACCTTCAGACCATAATGAAGATGAATTTTTATGACTTGGTTTCACTGGTGACCAATAATAAGCTTTATCTGTTTTAATATAACTATGATTGATCGGTCGAGGTTTTGGATAATCAGAACAATATAAATATTTAGAATGATTTCTTCGTTTAGCCATTTGCTTCCTTCGAATGAAACTTCTAATAAGACAAGGGGAAAGAAGAAAAAAGAAGAAAGACTTGTAAGCGTTGTGTTATTGTGAAATAAGCAAGAATTTAGGATCAGTACCTCCTGTATGTCGGTCCAGTGGTGTAGTGGCTATCACGTTCGCCTCACACGCGAAAGGTCCTTGGTTCGCTCCCGGGCTAGACCAGGATGACCTGTCTGGCGATTTGTGCGTCGGTGGTATAGCGGTTAGGACGCTCGCCAATCATGTACATGGTCCGGGTTCGATCCCCAGCCGACCCACTCCTTTACCTCGCTTCGCCAGTAATAGAACTGACAAAGAGGGAAGGTTGGGCATGAGGCTAGAACCCCATCCTGTAAAAATAAACACTTCTACAGAAACTTCAAGCCACTAGCTTAAGCCCTATGTTCCACTGGGGGACGTGAAGGAAAAAAACAATCTCCTGTCTAGTACTTGTCGGGTGGGTGGGCGGGGGGACTTGGCATTCAGAGGTTAGAGATTTCTGTGGATTGGATTTATATCAAAGCAGATTTCGACGTAAAATGTCGCCATTTGAAAACTGTACAGTACTGATTACTATCTCATAGTAATTTTGAACTTCATAGTGGTTTGTTATTGGTGTTCATGCGAGTATCGGTTTACAGTAGTCAAATTCCATTAAATTATAAACGTAATTTAAAGGGAGCAATGAAATATCAGGTCACTAGTGTATTATCTTTGTCTTTCTCTTTAGTACAGACCAGAATAGAATGGTAGTCAAACATGTAGCTTAACTTCATCGACACCTTCAGCAGCGTTGGCTGAGGAGTAATTTGGAAACTGCTTAGGAACTACGGCGCGCAGTGCCCAAGTATTTATCAAACGCACTCACCAACTATTTGACAATATCGAATGTCAGGTGATCCACAGTCGACAACTCACTGAGGCTTTCGACGTGAGACAAGACTGTTCACTATCAACAATGATATTCCTAATTGTAGTGGGCTGGATTATGCCACAGATCGTAAGTGGGAAGTTAGAAGACAGGAATGCGCTGTATCGACAAGAAAACTCTAGAAGATTTGGATTTCAAGCCTGGATGACATATGTCTTATGTCACACAAACTCAAACACCGAGAGACAAAAGCCAACAAACTGGGTGAAGAGGCCAGTAGCGAAGACAGGACTATAGGTGAACATCGAGAAGACGGAGGTGATGCAGATAATTAACCAACAGCAACAACAACCAGCACCTAATACCATCAGTAGGAGAGATTTGAAATAGGTCACTTCCTTCACTTATCTGGCTGGGAAGCACGGTTTCAACCACAGGCTGGCCGAACGGCTGAAGATGTGACAGCCAGCCAGAATCGGAAAGGCAAGATACACCTTCATCAACTTGAAACCAATTTGGAAATCTTCTGCATTCCACCTCAGCATAAAGAACAAGACTCGGCTTTTCAACACCAAAGTGAAGTTGGTCCTATTATGCGGTTCAGAAACTTGCACTGCGTGTCAGTCACAAAAAGGATTTCTGACAGGTTGCAGACTTTCATCAACAGGTGCCTTCGTTGGCTCCATACTGAAGATCAAATGGCCAGAAAGAATAAGCAACAAGAAACTATGGGAACAAACTAACCAAGAGCCTATCGTTCAAGAAATTTGTAGGAGAAAATGGGGGATGGACTGGGCGTACACTGAGGAGACCATCAAAACACATCTCGCGTTAGGCCCTTGAATGGAGTCTGAATAGGAAACGACGAATGAGTCGTCCAAGGATGACATGGTGAAGATCGTGTGAGGAGGATATGAGAGGCTGAAAACTATAAACGTTACACAGGAGATTCCATATCTTCTAGATTTGTTTCAGGTTCATTTTCAGACTGATGTTAGTTAAAGGACTATTGAAAACTAGCTAGGAATACTGGGCAGACCCTGTTTTTTACCAGTCAGGGACTCTTCGGTAGTTGGAATTCATGGGCCAATGGATCGGAACCCAGTGATTGAATGGTCTGTGAGCTTGTATTGTAACCAGAAGGTCCCGGATTCTATCCCCAGTGGTTGCATACTTCAGAAGAGCCCCAAACTGCGACAAAACAGCTGTCCAGTACTCCATGCTGGCTTTCAATGATTCTACAAATGATATCAGTCCGTGATCAGACTTGAGACACAGCAAATCCTTACAAACTAACTTGTGAAAATCCTCTAGGTTCTATAACATTAAAGTAACAGTTTATTTAGTTTTCAAATTGTCTAATTTGTTCACATTAATGTAGAAAGTCATCTTGTCATCACGGCAGTCTTTACAGTGTACTCACTGACCTTGACCGGATACTTTTCTGTAAACAATGCATTGACATCTTATTTTGTTTTTTTTTTAAAAATACTTTTTAAAAGTACTATTCGGAAAAAGCTAATATTGCCCTTAGAAACTCTACTCCACAATCAGTTTTTGTCTTTGTATACTTATTATTGTCAACATAGAGATAAACAATTATCAGTGGTGAATTGACAAACACCTAGAAACACAGAAGTACAAAGAGATGAAGATCTAGACAGATAGTAAAAATAAAAATAAGTAAAAATTCTCAATAGGCTTCATCATTAGTAAATAAATTTATTTACACAGAAGGATAACTCTGTATCATCTCATTCATTTTGTTTTGTTGTTGAAACTCGTAGCACTGATTTACCAGTTGAAAACTCGCGGGCGCGCGCGCGCGCAGTCAAATACATTTACAACTATCCGCCTAGTTTAACTGTAAACAAGACATTGTGAAAATATACTACCATAGTTTTAGACAGATAGATATACAATAGACTATACTATACTATATTAGTGTTATATTTCTGTTTTTATTTATCAGAAAAGCTTAATATGTATTATGAACCAATGCTTATTATTTTGTTTCAGTATAGCTTTTATCAGATAAAAGCAGATGGTATACATGCGTGCATGTGTCCGGTGGACACGTAAACATTACCTCACAAACAAAACGAGGAGAATAATGGCAATGGTGATGATGATGATGATAACGATGATGTTTGGGGCAATGAATAGCGTGCAAATAACAGAAAATAAATGAATGATCAACAGTGTCACAAATAGAATGGATCTTACTTTCACGTTTATTATTTTTATTATATGGATATATATATGTATTATCTGTCATGCATGGAAGAATGTGACTCGTAGAAATTCAGAATTCATACAGAATTACTAGAAGATTATAAACCTTATTTTTTTCAGAAAGTCTAAGTGAGGATTTAATACGTCGAATAAGATATAAACTAAGTTGTGAATTAATATTTGTATACACTCCAAGGAATACCACTGGTTGATTATTCTTTTGAATTCATGTACAGTTTCATTCGCATTGGTCCACCGAGGGAGGGGGCTGTCTAGTGAGTGCACCACAGGATTATACTGCATGCCGGTCTCGTCTCGCAAGAGGCAGGGATAGGTGTGTTCAGTTCTCCTGAAAACCAGTACCCGGTCAATGGGTGTACAATTATGTGAGTGCGTCGGTGGCACAGAGGCAGAATCGTCGCCAAGCACGCATGTGATCTGGGGTTCGACCCCTGGCCACCGACGCACTCATATACCTCACTAAGCCAGTAATAAGACTGGTAAAGAGGGAAGGATGGGCATGAGACTAGCAAACCCATCCCTTAAAAGTAAACACCACTGCTACTGAAGCTTCAAGCCTCTAGCCTCTATGTTCGATTGGGAACATACAGGAATAAGTATTTAAAAAATTCATTCGCGTACCTCCTATTTTGTGTTTGGTAGTTGTGATTTTCAAAAAAAGTTATCATTACAGAAATCAACATCCGTATTTTAAAGCAGTTAAAGGTATCCAAGTATCTTTAAATGCATTATGACGACTAAATCTGAATTTTTTAGAAATGGAGAACATTTGGTATCAGTCAACGGTTTTCACACTCTACACTCTGAAGCCTGCTCGAAACGGTTTTGGTGATACGCTCACCAAGTCTCTGCAATGGTTTGACACTGGACATCATATATTTACATAGTTTATATTTTTGAAAAACGGGCCTAATTAAATTTCACTTATTATACTATCAGAAAATCTGTTAGAAAAAAACATTGATTTGAAAAACAAACATTTTCAGTTATTTACTCATTTTGTTTATCAACACAAATATTCAGATTATTTTTTTTGCAGCAAAGCATTTGTTCAATTTTATTTCTAACCAGAAGTTGTCTTTAGTCATTTTTGACACTGGTTCAGTGAATACCATTTTATTACAGTCACAGAAGATAAGGTAGTTTGTTAGTAGTGAAATCGGGGAATGCTAAGGTTTGTTTGTTGGTGGATTGTGTTAAAACACAACAGCTTGAATACGGTAAAAACTGTTAGAATGAAGCATATTTTTTGGTTTAAATATTGTGAAAATAATGTCAAAATGTTAAGCAGATGGCCATGAAAAGAAGGAAACATGAAGTTATGCGAGAAATAAGATGAAGTAAAATTTAATAAAATTAGAATTAAACTGGTAGATCCGTGAGAATTGATTTGATTTCAACAGGGATATCATTAATGTCGGTTAGAAAAGTACTGAAAGTAAGGAGAGACGAGAAAGTTGGTTGTTCATCAAAGTTTTACGGCTCCTCATCAGTGTGTATACGTAAAACGCTGAAAAATACTAAGTCAACTTAGAACTGTTGGGCATTAAAGTTACCCTACTAATTATTATTTAGTTACTGTTAGTTTCTATATATTTGAATCACAAGATTATAACTTATTCTTTCAATTATACTCAACAAGCAATAAAACTAAGGTTAAGCAAGCGTAAATTCCATAACTAACCGGTTGAAAACTTGTGGATGTATGCATATGTGTGTATAATTATTATATTTATTATTATTTCTTAAGATTCCGAGATGAACACGGAGCTTCAAAAGCACATTTCCTATTCTGTATAATCACCTCTAGCTGGTTCCACAATTGCCTACAGTTTGTCATCTCCTCCTCACATGATCTCCATAATGTCCTCCTAGAACGCAAG